GGTCCTATAGAATGTCACTACATAGCTTCTAGTTAGATAATATATATGGAGGAAAGAATGAAACCGTCTTTACTCCTATTAATGGCTTTTTAGTCTTTAATCTTGTTTTAAGACTATTTAATATTCTTGTCTTTGACAATAGCCATTCTAGTTTAATATTATATCATCTTTGAGTGATTATCAAGTCATTTTTGAATGACACAAAAATATATTAATAAAGTGGAGACTATCTTCAATTATGTAAACATCTTAATTATAATCTATTTTTATTTTTTATGTTAACATATTAATTATAGTCTATTTTTTATTGATATTGTATATTTTTAATATTTAATAAGATGTATTTATTAACGATACCTCTTTTTTAATATCTTGATATTTTAATTAGTAAAACATGTTAAATAATTTTATTTAGGTATATTATAATTTAAATATGTACAAGTAATAACTTTAAAATTCTATTATTCTTTGTATTTATATTTAGAAAATTTAAAATGTTGTTATTATCTTTTTAGTAATTTTAATATGTCTTAATTTTTAATTATCTTAATGATTATGAATTTTTTTATATCAATTGAAAGTCATTTGATTTTGATATTACTAAAATAATACATATTATTTTATTTTATTTTGATTTAAATTTTTTATTTTTTATTTTTTTATTATTAAAATATATTCTGTTAATACCTACTGTTTTTATAGTAAATGTTAAAAAAATTATAACTCCTTTACATAAATATGTTTTATTTTAATTCTTTGTATATAATTAAATTAAACTATGATTCTATGGCAATGTAATCTATAAACTAGCTATTAAAATAGAATAGAAAAATGATTAGTCTAAGTAAAGGACTAAGTTTTAAACTAAATCTATATATTTATTTTAAATCTATTTAAAAAGCTAAGACATATTAAAAATTTTAATCAAGATGATTTTGTAAAAACTCGTTATTTTTTTGAAAATAATTTACATTATTAAGAAAAATAAAAAAATAAAAAAAAATCTTGTGATTTTTTAAAAAAAATAATTGCATTAAAAATGTTTAAAATCATATTGATACTTACTATTATGTATAATTTTAACCATTATCATCATGAAAAAAATCGAGATCTTATCTATAACAATAATAATAATAATAACAAATTTTAGATATACTTTAAATATTGTACATATAATATTTATATATACCATATTTAAACTAAAACTACAGAAAATCTATTTAAAAAACTACTAAAATAATGATGGATTTAGAAATTGCTATTATAATATGTAAATAGTTATAAAAGTTTAGTTTTTCTTGAAATTTTTTATTTTTCATAAGACACAAAAAAAAATGTATTATTTAAAAACCACGCTCAGATTAAAAAAAATGGATGTTAAGAATATGTAATTTTTTATACTTTCTAACTATTTACCAAATTATCGTAATGAATTAATATTATCTTTTTGTATCAGATAAAGTTCGCTCTTGTAGGTCTAATAATTATTATTTGATACAATTATTCTAATTTTATTATGTCATATATGTCAATTATTTAACTATAATTTTTATGAGATATAAAAATAATTATTTAATATATTTGTAGCTTAAAATATATTACATATCTCATAACTTATAAATTTGTAGCTTAAAATACATTTTCTGTATTTAGAAGTTAGTTTTATTTAAATATAATTTATTGCTAAAAAAATATAAACAGAAAATTATATAGATATAAAAATTAAACTCAAAAAAATAAAAAAATATATATCATTATAAAGATAGGACTAAAAATGGATTATAATAAAAGAAAAGTATTCATGACTTATTATTGAATCATATATAATTAATAAAATAGCATCTTTTAAATTATTTTTTTAGTGCTTGAATGATCAAAATTTAAAATCTATAGAAATCCAAAATCATATATATATATATATATATATATATATATATATACACAAAAAAATGTTGCCAATACTTACAGTCCATTTTGAAAATCATCAAAGTTTGTATTTAATTGAGAGTCTCTTCATTATAACTGTATTAAATTTGAAATCATATATATATATATATATATATAGAGAGAGAGAGAGAGAGAGAGAGAGAGAATTTTTAAAATATACAGTAACTAATCAAAATAAAAATAAAATATCATGGCAACTTCTACAATACAAAACAGTATATATATTTTTTGAAATTTCAATTTTTTATAGCTTAATATTTATCTTTCTAGAGATATATACACATGATAAATAAAAAAATCAAGTCATAAATTTTGTATTTATTAATAAATTTAGTGACACTTAATTGATGATTGGTCCCATTCTCGTAAACTTTTTGTTTGTTTGTATGCAATGTCTAGGTAGCAAATAACCAGGTATCCCTCAGATATCAGGTTTTGTATTCCTTCAATTCTCTTTCCTTTCGGTCACTTATTAAATAAATTATGTTGTGCACAAGTCATCTCAGGTGCCCAAGTACCCAAAATAGTGTAAAATCAAGGTGAGGCATCAATCTCTTCTAGAGTGATGGACAATGAAAGTGTTAATACAACCCCACCCCACCCTCCCCACCCATGGCCAGTAGCCCAATCACAACCTAAGCATTGGACCTCAATTAACCCTAAAATAAAATAAACACAAATACCCCAGCCAGCTCAGACTTAGGGGGCAAAACTACTCCACTACAGACAAAATACTGAGCCTATGATTTGCTATCAGTAGGACAACCACTTCCACATGGATAAAGATATGGATGAATTTGTATATATATATATATATATATATAAGGATGAATATGTGGTTGGTTAGAAGGATGGATTGATGGATGGAAATTGAGCAAATTTGTGGCGGGGGGGGGGGGCATGGGTCAATCAGATGCCATTGGTAAGTAAGGCCCCCACATCATCAAAATGCTGCATTGGCCCTTTCTTGACTTTTTCCAGTGGCCCTGATAGTGAGTGAGGGGAGTGAGTGAGTGCCCTTACAACCCCAGCCCCAGCTCATCTGGACCCCTGCGGAGGGTCACTTCACAACCTCAATGAGAGCAAAAGAGAAAGAGAAATTCAATGCCTTTCTTCCTGTCCCACTGCTACTACTCTCTTCACTCGCTCTATATATCTTACATAACTTCTTCCCCCCTTCCCCAAGGCCTGATTCTGTCCAGAAAATGGGCTTGCTGCCACCACCACCACCACAGCATGGAGACATGATCTGCACTCAGAACAGTCCTGCAGAAAATGAGAGAGAGAGAGAGAGAGAGAGAGAGGGCAGAACTGTGTTTGCATGACCTTGCTCTTCTAGGCTGCCCTTTTGTCATTGTTCCCCTTTTTCATTGTGTTCTGCCATAAGCTTTCACCAAACTAGGGCACCAGGTTTGCATTCATTGCCTTTGGGCTTTTTGGGTGTTGTTGGGAGATTGGGACCACTTCACAGTGAAGGTGGTCTCTCAAGGGAAATGATGTAGGCTGGTGGGTACCTTGGCACTTCCCCTATACCCATGTGCCCCTTTTTGTGTACAATATACGGATACTGATATGAAGATTGGGTACTGAAGCATCAGTATTCTTCAGTTCAGTTAAAGAGTATTCATGAAAATTCTACAAGAGTCTTATTGAGCATACGGTTTTGAATCTTGTTGGAATCTTTGTTGGCCTCGTCAATAAATAGTGAGAATGTTTTTATTTGTTATTATTTACTGTATAAGTTACAGTACTATGTTTGTAATTATTTGTGTTATTATCTGTAAGGGGGGAAAAGATGATTGTTTTGCAGTGAAATTCTAATCTATTGATAAGCCTTTTGCATCCATTGATTTGTATGTTTTGAAAGAAGAAACACTAAAAATGTAACCTTACACAACCAAAACACTTGTAATTTCATGCAATCATATGTCATTAAAACATAATCCACGTAACACAAACTGAAATCATAAATAAAAATCATATGTAATAACTATACAAAATACCTCCCTCAAACTAATTCTTGTTTGTTTATTTTTAAGCTGAATTTTTATTTTGATTTCTAAGTTGCATTGACGTATGGTCAGTGACTCTGTCTGCAGAAACAAAAATAAAAAATAAAAAATAAATAAAATCAAATATCTGTGCACTTCTCAGGATTTTTATATAAAAAATAGTTGAAAAATTATAACAATGAAAATCTGTTTTAATTGTACCACGTCCTTAGTATATCAACGCAATAAGCATTAAACATGATTAGGGTCAATTCAAGTTATGTGAGGTAACAATACCTATTATAGTATATACAATGATGTATACTAACTTATCTATAAATGTGTATTTGTTAGTGTGTTTCTCCTTTTGATCACAGATATATGCATAAAATATTTAACCTTGTGTGTGAATTAATTTGATAGAATAAATTTTTATTCAATTCATCAAGACCATGGATTGTAAGACCAGTCAAACAAACAATTTCTTGAACAGTGGAAGGATTTACATAATTTTTTTTATTTTTTTATTTTTTTTGTTATATTTTTATAAAAAAAAGATAATGAACAAGTAAAAAAGATATGAATAAAGTTCAATTACCACAACATGTTCATATTCTTTGCAACAATTCAACCAGAATTGAATCGTTTGTTAATTTTGGATGGAGTGGAAACTCTTGGTCTTTAAGTGATGGAAGGCTATTTTAGGTGAAAAGGTTAGTAAGATATTTTGGACAAAATACACCATTCATTTTTATTTTTATTTTTCTTTTCTTTTCTCCACATGCACATTCATTTCCATCCCCATTCAGCAAATATCATGGAGCTATTTTAACGCTAACAGCCATTATGCCAAATGCCAGCACTGTTGAAAGGAATCCCACAGAAAGAATGATAGAAGGAGGTGAATTGAATACAGTAATTACACAGATTAAGTGTTATGTTCAATTTGCAGACCTCATGCAATTGGCCCCAAGCCCTGACACTGCACAAGTTTGGATTAGCAATAACAAAGCCAGCTAAAGAAAAAAAGTAAAAGTAAAAGTAAAATTTATAGGAAAAAGGCGTAACACAGAAGTCAAAATTTAATCTAAATAATAGGGAACATTCAAACTTTGGGTGTTCAGAGTTCAAAATTCAGGCAACTGGCAACTCCCTATTTGAAATATATTTAGAGATCAAAACCCTAAACCCTAAATGAATAAAAGTAATACAATGGGATTTTTCACCTTTGGGTGACCCATGTGCAATTCCTTCCAACACTGGCTGTGCTGATATTAGAATAGGATGAAAATCACCACTATAGACTTTTGTATCATTCCAGTTGTTCCTTTTATTTTGCACTAAATTGCGTCAGTGATAGTGTGGGCCAAAGTTGCCATGAAATTGCATAATTTAGCAAACTCATGTTCCAGAGCTCTGAAGCCCCCACCAAAACTACTAGTGGCATGATTTACTAGTTACAGTTATTTCTAGATGGAATGTTTGACAAGTATCTGCAGACACTCTTTATTCATTTACTTCAAGGCTTTGAATGCACCACCATATGTTGTATTTTTTATTCAAGATCTGATATGCCTTTTGGCAAAAATTGATTCATGTTTATCCTTGTTCAAAATTGAGCCTTGAGTGGATACAGGGGTGGGCGACCATAAAAAATAAAAAATAAAAATAAAAAGGGCATTTCATCAGTTTATTTTTTCACAGCGATTTGGAGTTTGTGAATCAAGGTACTTGTTTTGGGAAAGGTTCTGTTCTGGCCTGATGTATGCAATCAAAGATAGTTGTGTTATTTATTTATTTATTTATTTATTTATATATTTATTAATACATTTGCTTTGTTTGATAGTTTACATTTTATAATAGTTTCATGCTACTGGAAGTGAATCAAATTATTTAAGCTACAAAGTGGAAAGTAAATAATTGAAACAATCAACAAGCTTGTAAGTTTTGGCACGGAACCATATTGCATTTTTGCTAAAATGGTGCTTGAAAATTTCTTCTGACTGTCTTTTATTACATCTGAATATTCAAAACTACATCTTCAAGAGTTGCTGTTTATCATCCTGCATTTTATTTTTATTTTTATTTTTGCAATTCTGATAAATAAGGACATTTCTAAGATATTGGATAAGGATATATAGACGATATTGAATATAACTATTTACGATAGATTTTGTATTCTTTTTTTTACTACAATATTATATAAAATTAAAATTAACCTTTTCATTCAAAATTTGAATCAAGATGGGGGGGGATGCAGATTCTTGATAAAAGCACTCATGTGGCATGAAGAAAGCATGGAAGCACATATTTAATGACTTTTTCAATATTGACAAAAGATCATCCTGCTATATTTAAAATATGAAATTACCTTTTTATCTCCTTTGAAAAACAATTCTTTTTCATTTCCACCTATCTCTTCTTTTTTTTTTTTCTTTTTTTTTTTTCCTATTTTCCTGTGCATTTTTCTCTCTTCTTTCTTGCTTATTTCCTTATTGTCCTCCTACCCTTTGAAATTTCTTGTAATTCTTTGTTAGGTATTTATCTCATAACCATCTCATGAGTGACTGTGCATGAAAAACCAAACTTGCAGATAACTCATGTCAATTGATATACCAAATGGACACAAGTTCTAACACAAGGTCAATTCAAAGCCACACCAGAGGTTACAGATACTTGATTAAGAAGTTACCTGATCCAAACCTTAAGCAGCTTAAAAGTTAATTTTGGATCCAACACGTTGCAAACTTCCACCACAATGGTGAATCTGTTTTGCACTTACTCTCACACCTGGGCCCCAATTTCAACTTCCTTCAATGTATATCAACACCCACTTACCTGTTTTCTACAGGTATCAAGACTCCAAGCTAGCAAATAAAAAGAGTTAGACATGACCCACTTGACTCGAGATGCATAAAGCTTATCACAAACTCACCGAGTAGGCCACCACCTCCACCACCACCACAAACAGTGCCACACAACACCCCATGGTCCACAACACAACACAACACAGCACCAGAAAGAAACAAAAAAGAAGAAGAAAAATACACGATTCTGGAGTGTCATGGTGAGCTGTAGCTATGCAGAAGGGGAGAGAGAGAGAGGCCCAGCGGACACATTTTATGATAGAAAACAACAACCCTAACACATGGAATGTTCCTGTCATGGTCACGTCCAGCGTGGTCCTGTCTCCAAAGAGAGAGGCTTCGTCAAGACCTTCACAGCGCTTGTCGACATTCCAACATGGTGGCTCTTCAATGCCGACCCAGTCCATTGCTGGATTCCCACCAGGCGTGATGGCAGATGAAGTGACAGCATTGAGTGATCCCCGTTGACCAGCGGCAAACAGCATTTAGGGGATTATTTTACCACATGCCTTGGTTTGTCGCTTCAGGCTCCAGGTCTGATTGACGAATGCGCTAGAGAATTGGTGTTCAGCCTCCGGGATGAATCGATGGTGAGGGAGCTCGATTGTTTTGTTGGGTGGATGTGCACACGGATTTGAGCGATTCTAAGACCTGATGGTGGTGGCAGTTGGGTTGTCTAGTCTACAGACCCGGTGATCTGCATGGAATGTCAGAGGTCGATCAGGAATAAGAGCGATGGGTTTTATATTTTGTTTTTAAATAATTTCATTTAATTGTTTTTTGATTGGAGGAGTCTTTGATCGCGGAGGTGAGTACATGTGGTTCACTGGCAGTGTAGGCGTGGTGAATCATGTAAGATAACTCCTTCGCAGTTGGATTGCTGAATTTATCCACATGGATCAGACTCCGGTTGGTGCGGTCATATGTCGCGGTTAGCGAGCAAGAATCGCAGTGCTTTAGATTTCATGGCTTTTAATAAAATTCCTGCTCGCTGAGGGGAAAGGATATTCCAGAAAATGACATATCTCTCGATCGAGTCCCGGTACATTTGTTATGTCCTCCCTGTGGTTAAGTTCGCCATTGCTGGAAGTTGTGATCGACTGAACCCTACTGGCTACAATTGCCTGTTGCTGATTTACTATCCCAGCGAATGCGATCTGAAAGTCGCTTCAAGGTTTGAACAGATAGGTTCTGCAGAAAATGTTTCGGGCGAAAACCACATGTACAGGAAATCAATGCGAAAATATATTATAAAATCCCTCGTCAAACTGAATTGTGCTACATCCGATTGTTAGGTAGGCGAAGCAAATTAGCAAGAAGCTCATTGACATAAAACCTGCAGGAAGGCTGGAATTTATTGAATAACAGAGTTGAGGTGGAAAATAAAAATGCACCTGGATTGCCGAGCTTCACTGCACTGCAAGTTCGGCGAAGCGGCTCCACGCTCAGGTGAACGAATAATGCTTCGGAACAGAAAAAGAAACAAAAAAGTTAAGATTGCAACTCGCTCTAGTCTGTGGCAAAGGTTGACATCGGAGACACACACGAGGATCTCTTTCAACTCCCGCTAATTTATCTCCTTAAATTATGTCGCAGATGCTTAGCCAGCCAACTTCCACCGAGGCCACGTGTATCGTGTCGAGGAGCAAATAGGTTGAAAGTCGAAGCTTGTCCCGACATTCATCGCCCCGTTTTTCACTTGGTCAACTGCTTCCGACACCGAAACAACACCACAATTTCCTGAAGATTCATCTTAAGGCACGTCGATATGGTTATCGATTCCGGCACGTGAAAATTTCCCCCAACCGTCGAACAATCTCCTTTCACAGACACAGTATAGATCCTTCTCAATCATATAGCAAGCTTCGAAATCTATAGTAGCGAGGGGAACGGAATTGTGCTCAATTTGATGCCCAATACATTCCCGCAATCTGCCGCAAGGTGGTGTAAAAAACGTGCCCGAATTCCAGATTCTCAACCCCAGCCAGCCCAAACCCTAAAACATGCGGAGACGATGAACATGTCCCATCACATCGTCACGAGCACTACAATTCGCACTGGAATCTCCAACCTCCCCTGAAATGGAGATTTGATACGCGCAGTTCTCGGCGGAATTGGCATGCGTAACGTGTCAATCATCGAAGGGTGGGCTTCGACCCGTATTCTACGATTGGATTCCTCTTCGCGGGTGATGTGAGTATGCTCTAATCGTCTGGTGCTCATAACCGTGTCCACGGTCACCCGTGTTCTCCGTGTCCTTCTGTGTTCTGATACATGTATTAAGAGGAATGAGTATCATGTGCATCTCATTTTTCCAATTTTAATTGCACGTCAATATTTTTCTTTTTCATTATTTTTGTGAAATTTTAAAAGAAATCTCCAACTTATCTGAAATATTTTACGTGGTTTATTGTGAATGTATTTGTTTTTTGGTTTTTGGTTTTTTTTTTTGGTTTTTAAACTGGTTCACAGATTTGCTTGGCATTTTTTAAAATTTATTGCGACTATTTCATGATAATAGAATTTAGCATTGAGGTTTTTCCTTAATGCATACATCATTACATTATTCTTGAATGCACTTCTTCTTTTTAATAGACATTGAAAAAAATACCATTTTGTTTCACTTTTGTTCTGTATTTAGTAATTTCAAAACTTTAAAAATTTTTATTAGACAGATGCACATGAAAATTTAATTTTCTTATAAATAAAACAAGCCTAACATAAATATCACTAAATATAAAGTTTAAATTTTATGCCTCAAACACAATTTTTATATGTTTGTAGTAAATTTTATTTTATTAATTATAACATTTTAAAGCATCACTAAAATTTCATTTACTTTTAAAACATTAGGAAAAAAAAATTCAAAAATAAAAAACTATTATAAAATATTTCGAGTAATCTAACTATCTATTTATGTGTATATATATAATTAGTTTTAAAAATATATACAAGATAAATTTTATTATAAAAATATATACTCTATTCTGTATTTTAAAGCTATTTAAGAATATACTTAAATAGCTTTAAAATAAATCAATTAGTTGATAATTTATAAGATATATCCAACTTTTAAAAGCCTTACCATGTAATAAGTATTTTTTTAAGTATATGTTATGATTATTAGTTTTTCATTATTTTTAGAAAAAATACCACCTTTGCCCTTGAACTTTCCCGAAATATGAAGAATACCCCTCAAGTTTTGATAATATCTCATCTACTAACCTGGTCACAATATCTACTATAAGATAGACTTATTGAGACTTTTGGAATTGTTACAACACTTTAAGATAGTCATAGCACAAACCTTAGATTTTTGTAGTACTTACAAAATGCTTTTCATAACAAAACAAACCACTTTTTACAATAGCATTGCTTGACTGTGAAGGTAAAAACGAAACTGATTATTCTCATGTAAGGATTTTTATAGTTTTGGATAATGAACCATTGTATTGTCTATATTATATCATACTATTAGCATTTGTGAAAACAAGTTATTGAATTTTGATCCATACTATTGATATATATATATATATATATATATATATATATGTATTCTTTTTTTTTTAAAGAAAGTGATGTTCATTGGTTATTTTGAATTTTTTTTATCATAGAATAACAAAATAAAAAAAATATACTAATCTTTCAATTTCCAGGATTTATTTTATAAACAACAGTTGATAAAATTTTAATAATATAAAAACTAGAAATTTTTTTATTGATTGATTGATTTATTTTAAAAATTATTAAGAAATTTTTATTTTTGTATATGTTTTTATGTGTATATATATATATATATATATATATATAATGATGGAAAATTTTAGTACATAAAATCTTGAATTGTGTGTTTTTACTTTAATTATTTAATAAGAGAAAGTTTGATTGAAGTTTGGATGTGAAAATTTTCTTTTACTGATTTTAAAGATCACAAGTAATTAATTTTTTGTAGACGACAGTTTTTGTAATTATTTCATGCCCCTAAAATTAGCAATGATTGCCATATTTTCCATGGTCTTTTTTGCCTTATCAAGTTCTTTATTATATATATATATATATATGTATTATTGAATGATCTCGTGTATCTTGTCTTTTTCATTTCTTTGTGAGACTAAGAAGTTTTGGATTAAACTTTTTATTTTTATTTTTAATCTGTATTGATTAAATTTAGTTCTTTAAAGAAATATCTGAAAGAAAGATTATTTAAAAAAAAAAAATAAATTATAATGAAATAAATTTTGATAAAAAGCTATAATGTTTTTATACAATAACATAATCACATATTGAATTGACTTGTTCTTCTTTTTCTATATAAATTTATAATATTATTTATTTTAAAGTAAAAAATATTATTTTTTTATTTAACTCAATATCATCATAATTTCATTTAAAATATAACTATTAAAAATAAAATTAAACATCACCTAAAGCAGCATGTCAATGTTAGAACCAAATTGGTTCTTTGCAAGTTACGCAATTATGTCTAGTATTCTTGCATTGACTACATCTAAGCATTCTTTGGGCTATTCCTAAATCCTCGACACAAATGCAATGCTTCTTTGGGCGACCAAATGGACATCATGTTAAGAGCAATAGGATCAGAGCAACATCAAATTTGTTATTGCTATCATGAATATACATATTTATTTTAATGTATACCTATATGATTAAGTAGAAGAAGTTAAAAATAGATTTATTTCATAATAATTTCAAGAGAAGCTTCTTAGAAGCCTTATTGAAGCTACTTTGACTTTGTATGTGTTTGTAATTGATTAGTAGTTTAGAAATTTAATCATGAAGTTAACCACATATTGGTAGCTTGTGGAATAAGCTAACTATGTCGTATACATATAAAAAACTTGCCTTGCAAGTTAAGATATGTGTCTTGCAAAGTCAACACATTTTAGAGGTCCTATAAGAAATTGCTACTTAGCTTCTAGTTAAGAATATATATGGAGGCAAGAGTGAAGCCTTCTTCACTCTTATCAACACCTTTCTAGTCTTTAGTCTTGTTTCAAGACTTTCTAGTCTTTTTATCTTTAGTAATAGCCATTCTAGCTTAATATCATATCATCTTTGAAAGACTTTTTAGTTCTTTTGAAAGACACGAGGGTGTTTTAAGGATTCCTTTCTTTGAGATTCATATCTTTAATAGTTTGATAAGAGTCCTAACTTAATATTTTTATCTTGTTTTAGAAGTAAGTGGATTACTCTACTTCTATTGTTGTGTTTTAAAGATTGCCAACTACCTACCTTTAAGCAAACAATCTTGTTTTCTAATACTGATTTTTTTCTTAAAAAGAGTGGATTACTCTTCTTTGTAGAAATTTTCATTTGATATTAGATGTTGTAGATTATCCTCCTCTAATTTAACTTTTAAAATTTGTTTGAATTGTCTATAAAAGAATAGATTATAAATGCTACTCTTAGCAAAAGTGAAAATAGACTTGCAACTGTTGCAGATCTTCATGAACTTGTCAATATCTTAAGAGTAAAAATCTCATGTATTTTCGACATGAATCTTGGAGGTACTATTTCTATGCATTCGGAAGAAGTTCAGAGTCTACGTCAAGAAGTTGTGCAATTAAAGAAAGTAAGTAGATCAACTTTACAACTAAATCCAAAAAGTTTTGCTTCTACAAGTATGATGGAGACAATGATTAGTATGCTTGAAAAGTTTGATGGAATAAGATCATAATTTTGAAGATTTTTGCAACAAATCAAGCTCTATTTAAGATTGCATCCCTTCCAATATCTTGATGAATTTACTCAAGTTGGATTGATAGATGCACTTCTATCAAGAAGTATTTTTTTTTGGTTTACACTTTTAATGAAAAGGATTTGTGACTCTTTTATCATTTGAATTCATTTCTAGAAGTATTTATAGTCACATTTAAAGAAAGTGATAAAAAAAAATGTAACAAAGACCAAACTCTTATCTTTATAGCAAGGTTCATGATTAACTACCATATATATTGTTAAATTTCAAAATATTGCTTACGACTTGGATTGAAATAACAAAATCCTTATTAATCAATTTTGATATGGATTGAAGGATAATGTGAAAGATTTGTTATTATCAATGTTAAAGGAAAAATCTTTAGAATAATTTATTACTCAAGCCATTGCATGTAACAATCAATTATTTGAAAGACATTAAGAACAAAGAGTTGGCTAGAGAGGAATAAGTCAAATAATGATGGCAACTTCCAAGTTTTTAGAAACTTATTCATCAAGACCAAAAACAATGTAAATTGATACAATATATTTTAAATCCTTCACAGAGCAGGAAAAAAATTGACGACATTAAAAGGACTTATGCTTATATTGTGGAGAAGCTAAATACATTGCTCAATATTATCCAAAAAAAAAATGCAACCACAAAATGAGAAGTATGGTTGCTCAAGAAGGCAATGTATCAAAAAACAAGTTTATCTAGCTGCAAGGGGAACAATATACCTAGAATCTTACATAAAACCTAATAAAGGTCCTATTCTCTCTACTAACCTCTTATCTTCTTTTACAATAGAAGTTTATTTAGGACCAAAAAACCACAAAGTCTTAACTTTTTTAGATTCAAGAGCTTTAGTCTATTTTATAAACAAAGATTTTATCAAAAAATAAGAAATATTATTAGTCAAGAAAACTAAATCTATACATATAAAAGTCATAGATGGTTGTTTGCTATCTTTTGGAGATGTTATGCATGAAATTATTCCCTCAGATATAATAATTAAAGATTATAATAGCATAATAATATTTAATATAATAATATCTTTGTCTAATCTAGTTATTTTAGAATTACCTTGGTTAAAAAAGTATAATCCTCAAATAGATTGGATTTTTTGTAATCTTAATTATTTTAGTAGTTTAATCTAAAATCCCATTAGTCAAGTAAAAATGCATAATTTCACTACATCTTAACACTTATAGGTAGGTACAAGAGTTTTTATATATGCCACAAAAAGGGATCATCTATTTTTATATATAATGTACCTATTTTTAATGGTAGAAGGACATCAAGTAATATTCTTA